TTCTTTTGAAACTTTGTTAAGCTTGACTCTAGAAAACTGAATTAAACTGAATTTAGGCCTTCATCATGCCTCATCCAATTTTTATTTATAAGTGTTGAAGCATATTATTGCAATCAGAGTCAAGGCTTTTTGGGGAAAACTGCTATTTTATGCAATTTTTAACTGTTTTTTTAGACTGTTCCAGCAATCAAGCAATCAACAAGCTTCAAAACATTTCTAACAACGATGCAGCAGATGTAATACTAGACTGATTATACTGACAGCTGTTGTCATATAACTTGTATCTTATAGTGTAGAAACAATGGATGACCATTAATAACAGTCATACAGGTCAGCTCTACTATGGGCCCATTTATGTCTATGCCTGAGGATATCTTTGTGATGTTTTAAGAGTGTACATTCAACTTTTTGGTAACAGATTATAGATGACGTGACTTAATTCATTTGATAATTTCCTGGTATTTAAAGACCGCAAAAAGTTTTCTATTTCAGCATGGGCATCACTCTTTCAGTTGTCACATACGTAATGTTTTAGCATCTGTCAAAATATTTCAAGCAGGCATCATGGGGAGTTTTTTGTGCCGGTCGCAGGATATAATATAACATAACCCCCTCCCACTCGCATGGGAGTATTTTCTGCTTTCTCCCATCAGCTCACACTGACACAGAAACTTGCAGTAAAAGCTTGGGAAAAATAAACCAGTTAGTGTTCACACATGCAGAGTTATGTACAAGTGTGAAAGCCTAAGAAAGGTCTTACTTTAAAGAATCATTTAGCTGAAGTCTCTCTCCATGTTTTTTATTTCTTTCCTTCACGAGTGCAGGCTTTGAAAGTGTCTATGTTTGAATCATCTTTTTAAGAAGAGAGAAGTGATCTTTTGAGAGATGTGGCTGTTTTTAGGTAGTTGTTATGAAAGCTTAAACAAAAAAAGTTCCAGTTGGGTGGATATCAGAGAACATCACCAAACAAAACGCATGAGCTTCCTCAGTAGCAAAGCAGGCAAGGGTCGAAACCAAAAGACGACATTCCAACACAACAAAACAAATTTGTTAAGCATCAGGCGTAAAATCCAGTAAAAATCCAGGAAGGTTCGGCAGAAAGTCCAAAATGCACAACAGCTAAACACGGGGAAAGGCTGGAAAGCTCGACACACGGTATGAAGACAAACACTGCGAGAGTTTGAGATCATGAGAGGATTTATGGAATCAGAGGAGAAATGGGAAACATCATTTCCTGGATGTTGCTTTTAAAATAAGAAAAATGATAAAAATGTCTAAATACCAGAAGAAGCACTTTCATAGGAACTCTGAGAATGTGCTATAAAAAACCATTACAGTGTGTAGAAGTGACCGTGAGTCAAAGGTCAACGCTGACTTCTTCTCTACACTGTAAATGCTTATTTTCTGTTACATTTTGTGAGGGGTTAACATCAAGTTCTTAACACCACTTCACAACAAACGATGGGTAAGTCTCTCAGAAAAATATGCACACTAGGGAAAAGGCCCCATGGATCTTTGAAGAGTCTGCATCTGAGCTCTGGGCGGCTGGGGCTCCTGGATCCACATCCAGAAGAACGTAACACACTACCTTCAAATTCTCAAAAGCCCAGATTAAATATTCTGTACAATATGATCCCCCCCCAACACGCACACACACACACACACACACACACACACACACACACACACACACACACACACACACACACACACACACAAACAAACCCCTTCTATCCCCCCCCCACTGGGTGGGAAATGATTCTGAGGAAGCTGCTTCCTCAGCTCTTAGACAGGTCGGAGATAGAAGCCAGTCCTGGTGCTGCTTCTTTCCTCTAGCACATATTATATCCACTATTAAGTACAGCAGGACATCTGCAATCACTTCGCACTTGCGAAAGGTCTACTAATTCAACATGTCCCTGAGAAATACTTAAAGAGATGTCTCCTTTTCAAGATGAGGTCCATGTACATTCCTCATTATGTCATTTTTGGCCTTACATATACCAGATTTAGAATCAGCAGGTTTATAGCTGTAGATCCCAGATTCAGAATTTAGGTTCAACATCTTATCCTTGCTTAAAGAGATCATATCATTTCCTTTTTGGGGTTCATATATTTAATCTATGTACCGACTAAAGTATGTTCACAATAGATAAAGTTTGAAAGAAGTGTCTGTTTTCATGAACTGCCGATCCATGCACCGGCTCGCTTCTGACTCTCTCTCTAAGGCTCTGAAGTGCCCACGTTCAGAGGCCCCACGTGTGCCAAGTCTGATCTGATTGGTCGGCCTGTCGGCTCTGCCGTAATTGGTCAGTCGCTCAGCACAGTTCTTGGAAATGTCCCGCCCCTTCTCCTATATTGGGAATGCAGCTACTGGCTTCGCCCGAGGGGAGCATAAACATTAGCACCTTAACACTACTGTACTACCGCAGGCTACAGCATATCGTGGGCGTGCTACAGAAGTTAATGGGCGTGCAACATGAGCTGCTGGGCTTGCCACAACGAGCCAATGGGCTTAGATCAGTGATCTCACACTGACAAGACGTCACACTGGCAATTCTTTTTCGAGGGGGGCTAGAACCGAGCGTTACATGCGGCTAATGCTACAGCTAACAGGAGGAGGTAGGAGGAGCTGCGTTTCCGCGGACTTTGAATTTTTGCACATAGATGTGCCTAAACATGCACAGGACACTTGGAAAACACACTAAAGAGCATATAAAACCAGAAAAAGAAGAATATGGGACCTTTTAAAAATGAACTAAAGTGGATCGTAAATAACAAATTCCGTGCTGAAAAGGGTCATCAAGGATGGAAGTAAAAACAATTCATGGTCTAAAACATCAGTTTGTCACTGAATGGATTTTGGTGTGATGAAAGAATAACAGCAAATTACTAAAAACATGCCGTCGTTCTCCTCATCCTTTGGCTCTACAAACAGTTGTGACTCGAGTGGTTTGATGCTTGGGCCAGTTTTTTGTTTTTTTTAAGGGGGAAGTCATAAAAATCCTGAGCCGTAAACGATGATGGGATGAAGAGTCGGAGGGGCGCGCAAAACATCGGCATGAAGGAACTAAAGGCAGAGAAAGAATCATATTTAAAAGTGGAGCAGAACAACGACAGGCTGACGATGAGGGAGGAACGCCATGCAGTTGGTTAGATGAGCACCGCTGACGAGACAGCTGATTATCCAATGACAGCCCCAGAAAATGACAGCTTGAGAATAACAGCAGAAAGGTGAGAGAAAGACCTGCTCATGAAGACAATTATACAGTCTTCCTGACTGAACTTCCACTAGAGCTTCATTTAAGGAATATGATGATAATGGCTCGATATTCATCAAATCAGAACTTTAAAAAATAAATTAAATTAAGCTCAAACAATTCAAATCATATAATAACTTATCACTACAGTTTTCATATGACATGCATTTTTATCACCTGTGCTTTTATCTTTTTTATCATCTTTTTGTTCCTTCCAACCCTTGAAAGTGCTGCGCTATGTTGAAAACGTAGTTGCAGTTTCCCCAAGAGGAGCTTGGTGCGTCGAATTATACATCTGAGTTTTATGTGGAGGTAGAAAAAGGTGGACTTCTGGGAACACAGGGTTTGATTTAATGTCCGAGTTAGCTGGGTTTAACCCCCCCCCAGCTCCTGCAGCTACATGTCGGACGTGTCCTTGAGCAAAATACTTAACCCCAAGTTGCTCTGCTGCTTCACCAGCTGTGTATGAATGGCATTAATTACCTCGAATGGACACATAGCAGCCTCTAAGAAGATGAAGATTTACTTTATTGATCCCTGCAAGGGGAAATGTCTAAAAATTCTTTGCATGTCTCAAACAACAATTTGACACCAACAACATCATCAAGTTTACTGACGACACAACAGTGGTGGGACTCGGTGCGAACATCATGGTGCAAACTTTGCAATCTGGCTCTCAATGTGGAGAAGACCGAGGAGATGGTGATCTATTTCAGGTGAACTGACATGCACAATCCGATGATAAATGGTGCAGCTGTATAGTGGGCCAGCAACAAGTTTCTGCGTGTGCTCCTTGTGGATGACCTGGCCTCCTCTGTCAACACCTCATACATAGTACAAAAATATATAAGACTCAATAGTGCCCCCCCCCCCCCCACCTCCGTTGACTAAAAAGGACATGTCTCCCCATCATGTAACCATCTTGACATACTCAAAAAAACAACAGTTTAAAAGGATAGTGGGGACAGCAAGCAGGATCATTGATGCCCCTCTCCCCTTCCTGCTGGAGATTTACCATCAGCGCTGTGCTCACAGCTCCTCCATCACCACAGAGTGACCCCCACCGTCCATCTCACAAACTGTTTACCCTCCTATACCATCAGGCAAGAGGTATCGGAGCATCTCTGCTAAATCCACTGGGGGTCAGGACTGTGTCCCCGTCCCTGTCACACTAATCAGTGTCGACGGACCCGTGCTGAACTCTCATTTTAAATACATTGCACCTTAAACACTACATTAGGTGAATGACTGTGATGCTAACTGTATTGCTGCTTGTTTTATTTCTTGTATCTTATACTATTTCTATTGTAATCGTTTATTGTACTTTTAGAATAATTTAGCTTTATTTATATGTCTTGGTTAAATGTTTTCTGTCACACTGCTTGGTGCTGGTTTCGTCTTTTTTATGTATGCAGATACTGTCATGATTTGGTCTGTTTAGTTTAGTTTTAGTTGTTTTAGTTCTCATTCTTCCCTGGTGATTCCCTTGTGTGTTTTTTGTAGTTTAGTCTTTAGTGTTTCGTGTGTTATTTTGTATCCTAGTGTTTCTTTATGTTCTAGTGTGTTTTCTTACATTCTTGAGTTCTGTGTGTCTTCAGTGTTTCTTGTGTTCATTCCTGCCTCTGTGTGTTTCCCTCCACATTTGATTGCCTTCATTGTCTTCACCTGTGTCGTTAGTCTCACCTGTGTCTATTTAGTCTCTGTGTTTCTTCCCTTCTGGGTCAGTTCATTGTAGTTAGCTCTTGGATGTAGTAAGTCAGATGTTTTTAGTTGTTTCCATGTCAGATGTCAGTTTTTCCTTGTGACTCCTTGTTTTCACCTTTTTGGGGGACATTTTCATTGTAAGTTTTGGTTGCCTTTTTGTTTAAATTAATATAGTCTTTTGGTTTCTGCGCTTGGGTCCTCCTCTGAGTTATTCCAGTCCATGACAGATACATTAGGAACATGACAAATGAATGGAACTTGAAATGTAAAAAGCGATAAATGGCATTTATAACACAGAACAGGGAGAGAGCGACGTGTTGCATTCTGTCATGAGTGTTTCCATCTGTGACAGATGAATGTGTTACTTTAGAGAACCAGAGCAGACATTAGTCTCATCAACCTCAAAAACAACATGCCACGACCAAGTCTGCTTAATGTATTTTTACATCTCGAACACAATAAGTCACTGACTATTGTCAGTGAACCCAGGAGCCTAATAAACAGAGAGGATACACTGGAATCCCATAAAAGGAGCTGAAACACCAAGCAGACGGCAAAGAGTTATTGCAACGCCTTTTGTCTTGGCCAAAAAGTTTCACTAGAACACACCGCCAAGACTACATCCGACGGCCAACCACCACACACATTCTGCGCATGCGTGAGAGGCAATAACTCTCCTTTTGCCAGCAGGTGGCTGTAGTCCCTTGTTATGATACGAGAAGACCATTTTCACAACGCTGTCGCTCACCACTCGTATTATAGGTCGCTGCTCAGGGGGCTGTCTCAAACCTGTGTTAAGAGCTGGAGATAAATTAAACCTCCGAACAGCCAATCAGAGAGATTCCTCTCACCGACGTTGATTCAACATGTCGAATCGGCCAAAAAAAGGTAGACGGGGGGGCCGACGGGTAGCGACGGAACCGGACACACCGCAAAAACTAGGACGACAACCGCTCGCCGACGATCTCCCTTGGTGTGTCAGGGCCTTAAGGTAAAGGAGTTGGAACAAGAAAAAAGAAGGTCAACGTAAAACTTCTGATCAAACAAAGACTTTTTTTAAACTTCAGTAACTTCAAAAAATGTTGGAGGAGGGGGAGCGAGCAGTACTCTTCTGCCAAAAGTCATTAGGTTACAACATAAATCATTTCCTCACCATGCAAGTCTTCTGTGAAAAAAATGACAGAAAAGTTGTTTTCAAAAAACTTAAAAAAAAGGCTGCTTAAAACATACCATGGTAATGGATGAGGTATGTTGGTTTAACTGTTATTATTATTATTCTATGGTGAGGGAAACCTGGAAGTGATAAAAGACAGACAGCTAGTAGGGAATGGAAGGCATTTAATTTATCCCCATGGGAATGATAAGGAAATGGTTATTCCCCTATACATCTCTTCTGACTCAATCACACCCTCTGACCTCCCCAGGAGATTTTGAAGCGCTCAAAAAACTGACAAAACATAAACCTCTGTACCTCATAAACAACAGGGACCTGGTCAGGAAATGAAAGCGCTGGTTGTTGTTTTTTTTATTGTTTGAGAAATCCAATTCCGGAAATGTCAGTCTCACTCCAATGCCTTGTAGTTATCTTCCAGCACCACCAGTGTCTAGACTGTTGGCGCGTACAGATTGCCAGTTGAAGGTGGGAAACTGAAGCCCCTGCTGCGTTGTTACGTTCGCAATGTTTAACCAAGGAAGCAGAATGGTGGGGCTAAGTCGGGACTGTGGCGATGTGTCTAAATATGCACAATGCTTTTTTAGTAACTAACATCGTAATGTACCTTAAAGGAACAATATGTAACTCTGACATGTAGAGTCTAAAAGTGGTACTGCAGTCCAAAATCAAAACATTGGATAGAGCTGTCTCCCTCCGCCCCCACCTCACAAGAGTCGATGTGCATTGGGTTGCCATGTCACAGAAACTGAAGCTTCAGTGTTTAGCCAGCTCATTCTGCACTCTAACCTGTCTGTTTATTTTTCAAAATCATCTCCAATATTGATTCTAGTTTGAGCACGTTTCTGCTCGTGGAGCTTATGAGAAACATGCAGAGGCTTTTGAAGTCGGGTACAATCACTTCTGTCTGAACCAGTTCACTTCCCCTCGTTCTTCACTGCAACACATGTTGGTTTGCTGTTTGCCTGGCAAACCGAGAAGCGTCTAAAATGTCTGTGCGGCTGCCTCAAAACCGCCTACCTTCTCTTGTCCAAACAAAAACAGACCGTTCAGGAGGAGGACATACTGACTGCTGAATTGTTGTCAGAGAAGACAGCACTTGAACATAGCATGTTTCCATAATGTCTGATGATAAAGGTCATTGTATGACTAATTCAGTAGATCTCTTCCAAATTGGTCCTTTAATTTAACACTAGTTTATTGGCTTTGTGAATTGTACTGTCGATATAACTCTTACTGTATTTACTCGGAGGACCAAATGGTCTCTGACATAGGTTAATTTGGTTTAGTAGCAGAAAAAGGAAGAGTGGAAAAGAGTGATCAGAGGGAGAAAAATGCTTTTAAGATGAAACCGTGACAGATTGCCGATCCCAGCTCTGGTACTTTTCTCGCCAGTGTCTGGCTTTTTGAAAGTCCGAGCTCCTGTGGTGTCCAAGAGGCAATAGACGTCTATGGATTAGTGATGGCTTTAAATATTCCATATGCATTTTTATGACCACACCAAAACAAGAATGTGAGAGAGATACCTTGTTTAATGGCTGTGAGACTTGACTTGGTCCTAGAGGTGAAAGCTTGAGCGTGTGCTCCTTAATCCACAGCAGGAAACCGATATAGGTGATAAAAGCGGCACGTCAACATCTGCTTCAGAGTCAGGACTCATTTTCTCTCTGCACGCTGAAAAAGGGGAGGGGTGGGGACGCCTCGAATGATTTCTTTTTGATGTGAAGAGAGACTAAAGTGTTGTTTCATCTCTTCAAAATAGCCAGGTTTTATTATTTACAGCACCCTTCGTTATGTTATTGGAAACTATAACTCGATGGCATTACTAAATTAAATCACTTGCTGTTGAGAATTGGCTGCATGTAAACGTAATTTGGAGGATGGACATCATTTTAGCTGGTCAGCCGGCCACTGGTGAGATAAAACATACCCTTACGGTTTCATTCAGAGCTGAAGAACAGATGAACCATGCAGATACATTTCAAGGAGGAGACCTCTGGAATGCTTCAGTCACCGAGGTTAAGCCGGGTTGTTGATGTTCTGTCAAAATGCCAGAGCTAATTTGAGGTGTTTTGAAGTTAAAGGTCAAGTCAACGTTGGCTATAAAAGCTGACCAGACCATCAGAGAGAAGATTTGCTATACCAGTTATTTTACCCGTCACCTGTGCAGCAGGGTAGAGGTGTCGGAAGGGGGATTAACAGCACGCTACATTTTTACATTTTAGTTAAGATAGTGTTATTAAAATCTGAAAGGTTTTATAACTAAATGATCCACAATAAATGGTTAATGGTCTTGAGCTTGTTTAGTGCTTTTCTAGTCTTCTGACTGCTCAAAGCCCCAGCTGCCCCCAGATCACTGTTCATCCTCCAACTGTTACATTAGTTCATCATTTAGGTGTTTTTTTAGAGTATATCTGTGATTTACAATGTGTTTTCATACTGTGCAGTTTATGCTCCTCACTAGAAAATAACTTTTTTTTTCCCGAATTGTCCCAGTTCAGTATGCAGTACGTACTTTTCAGTATGGAGTTTCAGTATACTGAACATTTCAGTATGGATACTAACTTCCGGGTTTCGTGCAGTATGGATCGGATGCGTGCTTTCAGGAAATGAATTGTGTTTTACCACCCACAATGCTGTGCGAAATTAAACGTAAATCGTCACTTCACGTCCGCCTCCAAATCAAAACAGACGAGCGTGGATTAATTGAATCAATTTTTAATCTAGAGTTAAAGTCCCGACTGAAATCACTACTTTTAATTAACAACAGAAAATATAACAAATGTCTGCATTATTATAAAACCTTTCCCCCTCTATTTAAATAATGATTTAACTAATTAAATGTGTCTTTATTGGTTTATTTTATATTCTGTATATTACTGTCTTTCATTTGTTCTTTCCTTTATGTAGCCTACTGTATGTTATTTAGTTATTTAATCTGCCTTTACTTGATTTACATTGTGATATTGTTTTTTGTTTACCTGACTGTATATGCGCATTACTCTTCTTGAATAAAGATAAACAAAAAAAAAAAAAACGGGTGGATGCGGCCGGTTCGGGTAACGTAATGAAGTCACTTCTCTACTGAATGAATCAGATGAAGTAGGGACAAATATCTGCCTACTGTGCACGCATACTGAATAGTAGGTACTATCAGTATGCAGCACGGATAGTACATACTGCATACTGCATACTGAAAGACTGAGTATGTACTTGGCAATTCGGATACAGCCAAGTACTTCATAATCATGTGCACTAACTCCAGCACGTTTGCACTTTAATACTCGGGCTCTTTACCTCCCATGGCAGCACTTTAAGCACTTTCCCTCTGAAAGAAACTTTATGTTGTTGTTTGTTTTTGCTTGTTGTAGTAAAGATCACTATTTGTTCACCATGGCCGTTTCCGAATCGTCACAGTTCAGTATGCAGTACGTACTATTCAGTATGGAGTTTCAGTATACTGAACTCTCGTGGTCATTCAGTTTGCATTTCTTGGGTCCGCGCAGTATACTGAACATTTCAGTGTGGATACTAACTTCTGGGTTTTATGCAGTATGGATCGGATGCGTGCTTTCAGGAAATGAATTGTATACTAACTCCCACAATGCTGTGCGAGAAACGTAAATATAAAACGTCACTTCCTATGGGCACTTCACGTGCGCTTCCAAAGCAAAACAAATGAGCATGGATGCAGCTGGTTCGGGCAACGCGCCTTTCAAATGTGAAGTTGTTAAATTGTTCATATGCAACGTCACGTTTTGTATTATTCACTGAGCCACAGTGCAGATCACGTGAAGTCTCTGCAATGAGTTATCAGAAGCTCAAAAACATTTACTCATGATTATTGTATGGATGTTGAAAACAAGTGCTTTGACTGTACAGGGACAGATGACCACTCGCGACAGCTGATCCGGTGGAGAGCCCGTAACGGCAATATGTTCACCGGACAGCGGAACGCCCCGTCCTCGCCCTGAAGAAGAGGTGGGAGAATATGAAGCAGAAGTACAAAGTATGTAACTCATACAACTTGCACATTACATGATCAAGACTGACATGCCATTTATTTGACCATTCATGCTACTGGTCCTGGAGGCTCTACCAACTGTGGCAATTTTTTGCTGCACACAGGATTCATGTGACACATGTGCAACATTGAGACCTTCAATATTGCCAATAGAATTTGAACTGAACAACATCAAATATAACTCATTGCTTAACATTACAATGGAAATGTGGTTGTGTATTTGAATGGATATTGTTCACTAAAATATTGTGAATTCTCATGTTTCCTCAGGTGCTGAGGACCCTGAAAACAGGGGTCAGTACAGAGGGAGGGGAGATGACAGCTGCTTCCTGAAAGTGGTACAGTTTAATGGATGAGGCGCTTGGGGCCACATCATCACACCGCTGGCCCTGACGTCTTCATCATCCCAGGGAGCAGCTGTCATGTCCTCTCCCTCTGAAGAGTGAGCTGCTGCCTTAGCCTCCACCTCAGCCTCCACCTCAGCCTCCACCTCTGCCTCCACCTCAGCCTCCACCCCAGCCTCCAACTTTGCCTCCACCTCCTCTCCTGCCACTGGCTCTCCTCCCAGACCCAGCACCTCCTCTCTTTCCTCCTTCTCCCACTCCTCCACCTCCTCTCCACCTGCCAAAAGACGCAGGAGACCACCACCGTGGATGAGACTGTTTGAGCAGCTGGAGAGGAGGGACGAGGAAAGTAGGGATAGGGATGAGCGCTTTGCGTGAGGAGCGGCTGCCCGTGAGGAGCGGCTGCCCGTGAGGAGCGGCTGCCCGTGAGGAGCGCTTTTTAAATATTTTGTCGAGATTTCTGAAATAATGTTTATGTTAGCAAGTTTGTTTGTTTGTTATTTTTGCATTTAAAGCCATTTTGTTTAAATTATTCATCCAGTGATACTGCAGAATTTATTTTGTCATTTCTTAAATAAATAATTTATTTTGTGCACATTGTATTTGTCTGCATTGTATGTTATAAATGACATCTCCAATAATGAAAGATATTGTACAAATGTAGAACATGCCAGTATTGGACTTGATGGTGAATCTCATTGTTCATCTTTGCTGGGGCCTTTGTCCATTTACAGTAATGAAAGCAAATGTGTCAATTCATCTGGCACATTCAGTCTTAGCATGACATTTCTGAATAATGGCTTGAACAGTGTTTCTGGACTGGTTATTATATCATTTGGGAGATATGTCACCTGAAAAACTGCCTACCACCCACACTGGACTCATACCACTTTGCCTACCGCAGCAATAGGAGTACAGAGGATGCAGTTTCCACTGCGCTGCACTCTGTGCTCACACATCTGGACAATAACAACACATACGCACGAATGCTGTTTGTTGATTTTAGCTCAGCATTCAACTCTGTCATCCCCTCCAAGTTAAACACTAAACTCGGAGACCTGGGCTTCAACACCTCCCTCCGTCACTGGATAATGGACTTTCTGACCAACAGACCCCAGTATGTTAGGTCAGGACACACCTGCTCCACCACCATCACACTCAACACAGGCGTACCACAGGGCTGTGTGCTGAGCCCATTCCTCTACTCCCTCTTCACCCACGACTGCAGACCTGTACATGGATCCAACACCATCAAGTTTGCAGACGATACGGCGGTGATTGGCCTCATCAGCAACAACGATGACACGGCCTACAGGGAGGAGGTACAGCATCTGGCCGCCTGGTGTGCTGACAACAACCTGCTCCTCAACACCAGCAAGACGAAGGAGCTCATCGTGGACTTCAGGAGAGAAAGAGGAAGCACGCACAACCCCATTCACATCAACGGGATGGCTGTTGAACGTGTCTCCAGCTTCAAGTTCCTGGGGACCCACATCACAGAGGACCTCTCCTGGTCCACTAACACCTCCAGTCTGGTTAAGAAGGCTCATCAACGCCTCTTTTTCCTGAGGACACTGAAGAGACACCACCTGTCTTCAGCTGTACTGATGAACTTCTACCGCTGTGTGATCGAGAGCATCCTGACCAGCAGTGTCTCAGTCTGGTACGGAAACTGCTCTGTCACAGGCCGTAAGGCGCTACAGCGGGTGGTAAAAACCGCCCAGCACATCACAAGGTGTCCACTTCCTGCCATTGAGGATGTCCAAAGAAAACGCTGTCTGCGGCGAGCTCACGGCATCCTTAAAGACTCCTCCCACCCTGCCCACAGACTGTTTACCCTCCTGCCCTCCGGTAGGCGCTTCAGAAGCCTCCGGGCCAGAACCAGCAGACTGAGGAACAGCTTTTTCCCCAGAGCTGTCTCTCTACTGAACTCTACCCCCGAACTCTGAACTCTGTCTCTCTCTCTCTCTCCGCCCCCTGCTGATCCCCCCCTTTCCCCTGCATATCACCTCACACCCATCATCCCCCCACCACTCCTCCTGGTCACACACACACATCTCTCATCCATCTGTATTATTGTATTATAGTATGTTCATATTCTTTATATTATCTGTAAACTAGTATAGCATGCTCACTGCACCTTAATCTGTATATTATAATCCTAAAAATACACTTATATTTATAGCATCCCATTAATCCAGCCATCCATATATACACCTAATAATTCACTTTTTTTAGTCTACATCTGTAAATTTTGTAATTACTGTACATAGCACAGACTCTTGCACTTTCTGCTTATTTGCACTTCTGGTGAGATGCCAAACCTCATTTCGTTACTCTATACTTGTATATGTGTAATGACAATAAAGGTGAATCTCATCTCATCTCATCTCATCATCTCATGTCAGGACCCTTTAAATCATTTTGGGAACTGAAGTTGGCTTTCTCCCCTCACACAATCTTCATGTAGGAAGTAACACCTCTTGCATAGCACATGAAAAGTTGAGCTTTTGCTGTAGAGCTAAGCAAATCACCAATGTTCTTAATACAGACAGAATTCCTGCTGCCCAACAACCCAATCAGCATAATTAGATTCAATCTTACAAAGGTTAACAAAGGTCAATCCGTTGTCCTTGTGATTGAGGTTAAGGTAAGTGGAATGCAAACTCCACCTGTTAAATGTCATCCTTGAGAAGGAGGTAGATGACAATTGTAAATTAGGTTACACTGACAATACACAATGACCATAAACTTTAAATGATTAAAAGCAACACTCCATTCATGTAATTTCCTGAAGAAAAGTATTTATTATCGCCCAGCCATGTTTTCTTTTGTTTACATACAATGTTAATTGTGTTGGATCATTAGCTTCCCTGTCGACAGGTACTGACAGGAGGCGCGACGAGAACGCTGATCCAGGGCCTCCCAAAAAAATAAAATGAAAATGTTGTGACAGTGATAAGTGGAGGGTGAATAGTGCATTGTGTAAATGTGTCAGGTGTAACGTGTTTAGTGACAAACAAAGTGCATGCGAGGATCAAGTGACATGGAGGTGCTCTTCAAGAGGTGTAGTCGTGATCACACAGTGCAGGACTACAGACTTCAGGTGCTGAGACTGCAGCTGCGAACCGATCCCAAAGGCCATCAGCCACCTGAGGATGAGCCGGAGCATCAGGGTCAGCCTCATCCGCGTCCTGATCATCAGGATCAGGGTCAGCCTCATCCGCGTCCTGATCAGAAGGGGATTCCAGGTCCTCTGTACCCAGGCACAGGTTGTGCAGAACAGCACAGCAGGTTATCACCTCCACAGCAAATGGAATTCTCACTTGCATAGCCTTGAGGAAGATGGTCCGCCACCTTGTTTTCATGACCCCAAAGGCCTGCTCTACAACGAGCCTGGCTCTGGAGAGCTTGCCATTGAACCTGCGGTGTACAGGGCTCTGCACTGGCTCCCGATAGGGTGTAATGAGGGTGATGGGGTCTTGGATGCAGGGGTATCCACCGTCTCCAATGAGGAACCATGCCTGAGGGGGGTACAGCTGATGGACATACACATCAGAGTGCCTGAGGACACGTGCATCATGGACTGATCCAGGGTAACCCACGAAGATGTCCAGGAACTTCCCCCTGTGGTCACAGATGGCCTGGAACTGGATCGAGTGGAAGATGCCTGCTCGTGTGCTGCTGGTGCAACCACTCTCACATGGCAGCCATCGATGCTGCCAGCCACACGAGCAAACACTGCCGACCCCGCCAGGCGAGCAAAACCAGCACCAACTCTGTCCATCTCTGCAGCAGTGGGGAAACGGATCACCCGCTTCACAATGGCAAGGAGCCTCTTGCTGGCCTTGTGCACCAAGTCAAAGAATGTTTGCGTTGGAATTGCGAAAGCCTCTGCCACGACACGGTATGATGTGGCACTAGCCAGCCAGTAGAGGAACACCAGCATCTCCACTTCCCTGCCCCAGCCGTGGGTAGAGTGGTCCTCCTCCAAAGTAGCCGTGAGCAAGTTCAAGGCACCCCTGCTCAGGCGGAAATGTGGCCTTGTATCCTCACCACCAAAGTACAACCTCAGGAGTGGTACCCGGAGGTTTATTTGGCAGTATATGCCTCTAGCTCCCGTGGTATTCTGCAGGGAAAAGAAGGTTCTGAGTTAGAATCTGTGTAGTAATTTAGTTTACAATAGGCTGTTCAGTTAATGCAGGTATATCATATCAACGGCAAAACCAAATAACTGGAAACATTACATGGCTGGACTCACTCAGACAATAATTGCACATGGCGTTATTTTATATTCTTTGTCAATTGCAAACTATTAATAACTAGAAACAGTTTTTCCCAATGCCACACAGTTTTGATGTGCATTTGGTGTGTATACATGGAAATGTTTTCGGTAGCTGCATGCATGTATGGTCAAGTACAAGATAAACACTATATAACTAACTGCATTATGGTTAATAATAAGATGACCAACTTTAATCAGCTGACTATATAGCTAACGTTACCCTGTTCCAGTGTTTTACGTGTGGTTGGCTTCATGGTACTTTATTTATATTCATTCTTATGTAAACTCATTGTCTTGTAACTTCACACAGTGACCAAAGCTCCAATTCAATAATCAACCTGACTTTTCACTACTACCTGTGAAATAACATGAACTCACCTCTTCCATCAAGGCCAGGAGGAGAAAAAATCGTCTTCTCCGAGCTCTTTTCCTGGCTCGCCTTCTTCTCCCTAACACTAACTCCATAGCAACACGCTGCGGTGTCCACATGGTGAATGCAACTCAGAATTCGGATGTTGACAGCTGGTTTTTATTCTGTCAGCCACGGGGGCTTTCATGCTTTGGCCAAAGGGATCATTAGTGCCCTCATCTGAGTTGGAGTGTCAGTAACATGGGGTGGGCTAATGACGTCACTTCCATACTGAATGAATCAGACGAAGTAGGCATAAATATCTGCCTACTGTGTGTGCATACTGAATAGTAGGTACTAACAGTATGCAGCACGGATAGTATGTACTGCATACTGAAAGAGTCAGTATGTACTTGGCAATTCGGATACGGCCCTGGTTTCTCACTCTCTCCTCTCCCCCCTTGATTGGTTGTCGTTTGCACTCTGTCACTAATTAATTAGATTGAATTCACCTGCCTACTCCTTATTGAAGACTGCACTCCCTTGAACTCGTGTTTTTCATCCTCACATGGGGCGGCAGTTCAGCAATGCTTGGACTTTCAATCCCATGTGTGTCTTATGTTACCCTGATGGTTCACTTAACTTGAAAATACATAAACCTGTTACATTCTTGTATCCTGACCCGATGCCCCCATTCTTAACACTTGTCATTGTGGATTTGTGTAAAATTAGTGTGTACCACCAACCTGCCAATGAACTACAGATGGATAGTCGGAAAACATCCCAAGAGAGAGAAAGTGAGTGGGGAATGACATGCAGGAAAGGAGCCACAGATCACCTGGAGTATATCCTCCATCATCCTCAGCAATTTTGCAATGACAGCAGGAAACTTCCCGGATGGGGCCCCTTACGATAGCAATTACTCTCATTACTCAGCTTTGCAGAATGAAAGTCAGTGTAATAATGAAATGATGAATGGTTATTAAAGAAAGAGTGACAGACGGTGGTCGGAGGTGCCCCGGGGGGGGGGGGCGCGCACACTTAACCACTATGCCACCAGCGCCCCTTTAGTTAGCCATGCATTTAAAGAATGACTGTGCTATATAAAGCTCTCTTTTTCTTAACTTCACTTTTACCTCAGCTGCTCCGCTACAGTGTTGAATAATCTGAGGTTTCTTCATTTCAAAAACAGCCAATAACTCGCAGTTAATCTTGATTCCAATTCTGAGGATTTGGATGACAAGAAGAACGACAGCTAAATAAGATCTTTTTCTCTAGAAAGCCATAAAACAGCTCAGCTTCGCAGCAGGAAGGAACCCGAAGCCACACACTCACACAAGCTGATGACACGCCAAGAAAATTTCTCCAGGAGTTCAGTTTAGTTTGGAGTTAATAGTTCTGTAATCAAATCAGTGGATATACTCACATCTCCAAAGTAGTGTCACAGCTGTTAGTTTTACATCTTGTTCATCCAACTGTTTCAGCAGTATCACTGTTTTCTGGCACAAACACGGGTTCCTTTCCTAATCAGTGATTAATATGTCAATAGTGCGGAGGGGAAAAATCAGAGGCAGTGATTTGACCTTTGATACATCTCAACTCTTCGCTGTCACACCCAGCACAATTAAACATATTTTATGGATTTGTTTTCATTCCTTTTGGGGGCGTGAATATTTTCATCTCGTATGGGGTGGTAAAGCCAAACAACAGCCTTGTATAATCAATCATCGGTTTCAGAGAATGTTTTCTTGATTCACAGCTCGACGGCAGGTGGAAGAGAGTGTGTGTCACCCTCCTTAAACGAAACACTGTTGCATGTGTTGCTCCGTCTAATTGTCTTTCATTCGAGACGATCGGCAGGTTCCCATCCTTTTGACTCATTAATGTGTCACTCAGAGCCGCTTCCAGGTCTGAGAGCGGTGGCACGCAACCGAAGTCTGAAGAGAGAGGGAACCCACACCCACCCACCCCCCCACCCCCCCCCCCCTCCCCTGCACACACACAAACAATCATACCTACTGTGTGACTGTCCCCGTCTCTCCCTTTCACCCGCAGCCAGAGGCTATTCATGTCATGGCATGTCAGACCACGAGATGACACTGCCATACACACAGGTTTTTACAGTTTATGACCCTCAGGACGGCTCGTTCGTTGTTTATCACACACAATGTGACTGAGAAGGTGAGGTATGTCTCGTTCAAAGACAAAACTACAACACACACTGAATAATCAATTAGTGGGAAACAGTCATGATCAAGTGCTTAATAAAGGACTTGAGGGGGAAAAAAAAGTTTCACAAGAAACATTTCACATCACGCGTTGGCAAACATGTTAAGACATCTGCAAAGATTGAGGGACTTGTTCAAATTCCAGGAGTAAATGCTGGAGTGTATTACATCGCCTATTATAAAACGATGCGATAGTAACGCCAGATAGGCTACACAAATATTTGTTGTGTCGATGTGGGGGCGCTGAGTTTATAAAGGCTTTGTTTGTTTCTGCTGCACTATTGCACTCTACTGCCACCTTGTGGTTATGAAGCAACAATAAGGCTTTAGTTACCAAAGTTGTTGTTTAATGGAAAGCTGCAGGGTTACAGAGATTGGGTTTTCATCTTCACAGCCGTACTTTCCAGTTGTGGATTATGACATTGAACTCACCACAGTGAAGCTGTTGAAAAAGGTCAGTTGGCTCAATTCAATTTTCATCATTTTTCAAACATGCTGTATCTCAGCTGTGTGCAATTAGGGATTATTTACTGATGGTTTTATAACCTAATGAAGAAATAGTTAAACGAGAAAAGCTGCCTACTTGTTCAGGACCTGTTTCATTGATTGACCGTTTGTGCTTTGATTTACGCAGAAAACAAATTGCTAATGACTGGTTATGGTGGTTACTGGTAAATGGACTTGGAGCTTGTATAGCACTTTTCTAGTCTTCAGACTCCTCAAAGTGCTTTTACACTGCAGGTCACACCTACACATTCACACACACTGATGTCAGAGGCTGCTATGTAGTGAGACCATTAGAAGTAACTAATCCATTCATACACATGCATACGCCTCCAACAAAGCAGATGGAGCAATTCAGGGTTAAGTGTCTTGCCCAGGGACACATCCTCCTGGCTGCAGGAGCTGGGGACTGAACCCCATACCTTCCAGAAGTAGTAACAGAGGGGCGGCTCAGTGGAGCCAGCTGAAGTGCAGCACGGTGTGTGTGTGTGTGTGTGTGTGTGTGTGTGTGTGTGTGTGTGTGTGTGTGTGTGTGTGTGTGTGTGTGTGTGTGTGTGTGTGTGTGTGTGTGTGTGTGTGTGTGTGTGTGTGTGTGTGTGTGTGTGTGTGTGTGTCTTGACCGTCTCCCGCTGTGCTGTACTGTGCTCCTTCGTGCTGCCGTGACGTCATAATCAATATAAAAGGTCTTCAGGCATGATCACAGCGGAGCTTCGTTACAGCGCTGTAGAGAAAATGCAATCTGAAAAGGCCAAGTGAGGATAAAAAGTTTTTTTTTTTTATGGAGTTGTTTGAGGTACTTGTCAATAGTAAGTGTATTACCCACAGGAGCTGCTGGTCAACAAGGTCGCTTTAATGAGAAACCAATCAGAGTGCAGGCACAGAAGCTAAAGATTACATCACTGCAGACACGGCAGATTTTAACACTTTTCAGAAAAAAACAACAACAAGCCAATGAAGGGGTAAGTTTAAGCTTGTTTAGAACTTCTTTACTTTTCAGTCAGTCAATATAATTTTTATTTTTTATCTTGAACACACTTCCCATCATGTCACAGGTCTTAAATGTCCAAGAGCAGAGTGTGTAGGAAGGTTATATAGATGTCAATCAAATCTGTACGATCGATCATCCAAGAGGCTGATTTGGTGTCTTCAGATCGTCCAGAGGTTTCCATGTCACAGATCCATCAGAAAGCTGCAGCTGAGTTATTCTGTTCACGTCTCTCTCTTCGTTCCTCTGTCCGCCGACAGATTCACATGTCATCTCTTTAAGAGGCCGTTTATAGCTTTAAGTTCGTCTGAAGACAGAGGGGAAAGGTTGTAGCCTCGCAGCTCAGGTTTTCCTGCAAACAAACAAAAAGACAAACAACGTGGTCACCTTTCAGAAGATTTCTGGATGGGTCTCAGTTTCAGACTCATCATTAAGTCCTAGACGTGCTGATATTTACAACATAGCAGCCCCTGAGAAGTTTCCTCTAACATTGGATTTTGTTCGTAAGGATAAGTGAAGGTCTTTGTCCCAAAATAATATGAAGGAATCTCCCCTTTTCGACTGATTTACCAGAGGAATAGTTACAAAATGCAACCCCTCCCTGTTTGTGTATCCATCTCTAGAGCTGTCATTCTGAATGCAGGTTGTCCCTCTCCCAGCAGCTGAACCACACTGTTTAGGAATTTAAAAACCCTTTCAGTAATAAAATGACATTACACTGGTTCACTGCTTGTTTTTCTGCCTGGTTTTCAAAAGGTACAAACGGGTAAGGGGTCAAACCTTAAGGGTCCAATCAACGGACATGAGGAATGTGACAACACAGACACAAAAAAAGCCTTTTAAAGCATCTTTATCAGAAACCCTGATGAAGTAGCTGACTACAACATGAGGGCCATACCTACAGGATTTTATTTGGTTTAATCCACATAGCGCCCTCTGCTGGTGGCAGTGAGAAAGAGAACTGCTAGTGTTATACAATGATGCTTACATTAAATGTTATTTGACTGGTGAATAAATCTAGTAATATCGGCGGAAAATCAGCGATAAAATGAGTCAATAACGATATTCACAGGATATGCTAACATCGGCCGATATCATCGACTTGCAGATTAATCAGTCGGGCTCCAATAGTTAAAAAAGAAGCACTTACATCAAGGCTGTGGGGCCACAATAAATAACTAAACACATTCACTTAGTCCCTGGTCAAGTGTAGAGCTTAAAATTTAACAAATTTAAACTGCATGTTTTATCCATCTGCTCATCCACTTTTTGCAGAATCTCTGCTGGTTGCCAGACAACCTCAAGGTGACAACCGGGGAGCCACTGAGCAGCTAATACTACCTTCATGTAACTCCCTATAAAAGCCTTTGTGTGCAGTTTTAAATATGCTTTCAGTCTCAATTCAAAGCTGACTGTCTCACAACATAAGCTTCACCTGCAGAGATGAGAGCAGCAATCTTTTTTTTCTTTTTTTTAAGGTTTATTTTTGGGGCTTTTTATGCTTTTGATTTAGAGACAGGACAGTGGATAGAATCGAGGAGTGGGGAATGACATGCGGGAAAGAAGCCGCACAGGTTGGATTTGAAGCCGGGGTGCCCGCTTAAAGTACTACAGCCTCTGTAGCACTAACCGCAGGGCGACAGGCGCCTCGAGAGCAGCAAACTTTTCATGTTATTCAGCAAGAAGGCAGTTTTCCCTCTTACCTTGGATCTCACTGAGATGATTGACTTTTGCTTTCAGCGCTTTGCGAAGGTCGTTGATCTCCTTGTCCAGCTGATCTTGGTCTAAAGGTGAAAGACCAACATAATAACACAGAAACAATATGTGTACCATACAGCTATTCAAATTTAGAGGGGATTTCTTTTTCTTACCTTTCTGTATCATCTCTCTCGTCTTCAGATTGGGGAATTTGATGAAAATGTTTCCCAAGCAAACCTTCACTTTCTCTGCAAACAACATCAATGCTTAGAATCAATTGAGGTATTGTAACAGTTGAAATGTGGACTGTACCTTTAAGACTCTCAGTGGCTAAGTCACTAGACAGCGCCTTGTTTTTTATCCCTGAACTTAGTTTGATCGACCGATACTTGTAACCTACTTTCCCTATACCTCTCAACTCAACATTAATGTGATGGTTCTTGTGGACACTATATGCTCACATGTAGCCGTACAACATTTGTACAACGTTTTTTGTAATAAACTGTGAATATTCATATCTCAATAATGTTGAAATGCAATCGTTGCACTGCCCTGCCCGACTCATATCTATATACTAAGTTACATTTTCCAGGGAAGTCATTTTCATCACATAAGATACTGCTTCTGTAATATTCGTCATCCAATCAGATCACTCAGGGCTACTCACCGTTCTTTGACATTTCATTTTTCAGTGCATTCAACGCCTCTCTGTTCCTGTTTCTCTTCGTGTCCAGGTCCACTATCTGAAACATCCACAAGGCGCGTTGGTTATTAACATGAAACAGTAAATACGTCTGAAACACCAATGACTTTATTATCATGGGATGAAGAATAAAAAAAAAACTTAGAAGGACAAACTGGCTGCTGCATTGTTGTCAGAGAAGCCAGCACTTCAACATAACATGTTTCCTTAATATCTGATGATATAGTAATGTTATTTGTGATTTAATTCAGTAGATATCTTTCATATTGCTCCTTTAATTCAGTCATTTTTTCATGTTGGTGTTGATGCTGTGTAGCTGGCTGTTCATAAAAGTGCCTGTGTGGAATTTGGCCCTTTTGAGTTTGAATTGAACTGACTTTTTTGTCATTTTTTTCCCCAGAAAAAAAAAATACATCGAGGTATTATGCATCACCATTCAGAAATAATATTGGGAAATGATTTGTGATCCATAACACCGAGTCCTGGTTGCAGCATAAATTAAAACAAATCTGCAGCTCTGATAGAGTTTACTTAATTCACTTTTGGGCAGCACTGCAGTGCCAGGGTCAATATTTTATTTTATTTTATTTTTATAAGAGTTTTTTTATCATTTTAATGTCAATTTGGGTAAATATTGGATTGTAAATATCAAATATAGTATCATAAATATAGTATAGCAAATTGTATATAGAGAGATTATAAAGGAACACAGGAAGTTAATTTAATTTAATAATTATTAATTATTGAGCTGTGGAAAAGGAGTAGGATTAAATAAGTGTTATACTTCTTCCTCCTTTTCAGGCTTATCAACTGAATAAATGTAATTTTCTTTTTCTTTTTTTTGTGAAATAATCTGAACTTTTTTTGTTTGTTTATTGTATTTTCGTGCTTTTCATTTTGTTTTGTATTTTTTTATATGTTTGATTTTATTTAATATGTCTGAAATACATTTAATCAATCAGTCAATCAAATCCAAGAAATTGAGCGACATTAAATGAAGCAGACGGAAAATCGAGGATCCATATTTGAGCTACTTAGCTTTGTGGCTAAAGCATGCTTGCTATTCCGTTTTCGTTCGGCTTTGTCGAGCTGTTCACACAACCAGCTCGTTGTTTAACAATAATGTATTTGTTTACCTGTTGTTTGGTAGTGAGAACATCCTCAGCTGCCTCTTCTACTTCAGTCAAATACTCCAAAACACGCAGCGATACCGCGTCCATGGTGGAGGACTGTGTCGCTACAAAAATACGTCCGGACAGAAACAACAACTTCTTCTTCTTTTCATTTTGCTTTAAAGGTGCGTTACCGCCACCTACCGGACTGGAGTGTAGAGCAGTAGATTGGCAGACAAAAAAAAAAAAAAGGAAATAAATTGGGGGTGAAAACAACTAAATTGTCTCCTGTTTCCTTAAAAAATGTAATACACTGATGTTTGTTTCCTTTGATGTGTCTCCAAGCAGATGTGCTAAAGTGAAGTGTTTATTTTTAAACAAATCCTAGTTCCCTCTTTTCTTTCTCATATAGCTTTTACATTTAAACAGACTCAGATTGCCCACGACTGCATAGACGACACCTGCCAGTTGGATGTTTCCCTATTTATGTGAGTGGATTAATTTAGTTGGAAACAAAACCGATCGCAAAATAATGAGTCCCCCAAAAAAACTGTTCATCCTGAAAAACGTTTATTTAGACTTATCAGAAAAAAAATATGAATGTGTGAGTTCAGATTTACCATGAGGCATACACTGGCTAAGGTAGATAACGTTTTCTGATTAAGGTCAACTACAACAGTAGTTTTGGACGGAACATGTTGCAGACCCAATTGTTAACGTGATATAACGTGAACATCTATTTAACTTGCTTTGAAAGACAAATGTCTACACAATGCACTTTATTTAAGGTTTAACTGATAAAAACCTTCATTCTGTATCTCAAACTAATGATTTGGACCTAATACAACAATGAAAGTTCACTTCCACCCCTCACATTTGTAATGCAGAATAAACTCATCTGCTGCCTTTCACATGCTGGTTTATAGTATTTGATTATATACGTTACACCTGAACAAAATGCATGCTTGTGGATCTTTGCCATGCCTTGTTTTGAGGGATTAATCAGGAGAAAAATCTGACTTTTCTTCATCCAGTGTGTAATCTGCTTCATGGAGATTTGTGTAAAGACCTTTGTGTGACTGCATCTAGATCTCTTGGATGGATGCACAAGCAGATTTATTTTTTTTGCATTATTTAAGGAGCTGTGCCTGTGCAGGTTTGGCTCTGTAATAATGGTAATAAAAATGAAAATGTCAGTAGTAGTAAATCCACCTGGCTGCGTCTTGTTCCAGGTGGAGTGATTATTTTTAAGTTTAATATGAGTTCAAGCTCTTAATACATGATCCTTGTAATGCCTCTGTGCACCTTAAATGAAAGAAAAGGTTGGATTTTCACACCTCCACATTCAAGCAGCGGGAGCGACCTGTGGTTGTACCTGCAGGAGCTGGACTCTATCAACCAACTCTACCACTGAGCCACAGCTGCCCCAAATATACAAATATGTTCAAACAGTATTTTAGTGACAGAGACCGTTTTGGTTGATTAAAGAACAAAAAGACTTTATTATAAATATCTACACATTAAAAAAAAAAAAGCACATATGATCAGTGTGTGAACATTCAGTGCTGTGTTAGCTTATCGGACTGTAATCACAGCGTTGGATTTAACATGATGAAAACCTCCTGTGACACTTCACATCCTCCAATGAAAAAATACACTCCTCCTCCACTTTCTGTTAAACTTTTCAAAATCAAGAAAATGACTGAAATCATACATTCTGATAAAAAAAAAAAAAGTCTGCCACTCTGCCGTTACGTTCACATATACTCAAGTTGCTATTATGTAACAAATTCAACCTGTTTTGGTCGGTTTGATCTGGTCATTGGAGACATTTTCCCGGGTAAATTGTCCATTATTGCAGTGACAGCATCTGGTTTTATCTCCTGATCCTTGACCCCGGATGTCTTCCTGCACTCGGATCCTCCTCTTCTACACTCAGAACCGCTCCGTCTTTTCTCCGCTGCACCTTGCGTTCTCTCCGCACCGCTTCTTCTCTGCTCTGAACCGCTCCTCCTCCTGAACCCCGCGGTCCTGTAGTCCCACACGTCCCACAGCGCTCCGAACGGGCCCCAAACGCTGCAGTCTCTGGGCGTGGAATGAGGCTTCATGTTAGCACCTTGAGCGGAGGTCCGGAGGTTTCCTGAGGCCTGCATTCTCCTCAGGTGGCTGTTGGTCCCCGTCGGACTGCTGAATCTCTGCGCTCGGGAACCCGAGCTCCTCTCGGATGATTGCACCCGACTCTCGCTGTAGCTCCTTTTGGGAAGCGAGGTCGGCCCCCTCTGCTCCAGCGTCGGACTTAGCCTGGACTGACGAGTGTGGCTGTGCGTGGGAAGGCAGCACGACGTCCCACAAGAGGCGGCGTAGCGGATTCGGCAGAGAGTGCAGGCACAGCCGGATAGCAGGGCAGAGTGGCTGGCCAGAGATGAGAGTAAGGTGAGGGGGAAGGCACGCTGACTTTGGAGGATGCACTTAGGAGAGCTGAGGCGTGAGGTGGCAGCAGCAGCAGGCGACCTGTGGCAGCCGGATATCACCTCCGACACCGCTGACTTCCCACTCTCCTCCTGCACAGTCTGAATCTGACACCACTCGAGCTGCAGCAGCCTTTCCAAGTACCTCTCCAAAGGGCCCACAGCTCTGGGTCGAGGGCCCCCGCGGCCCTCCACGTTGTAGAAGACGGCCAGCTGACTGAGGCTCCAGGAGTTGAACGGAGGAGGGAGGAAGTCGGGGAAGTCGAAACCCCCGTCGCCGCGTCCTCTTGGCCTGCGGATGCGAGACGAGCGCTTTTCGTCCTCGATGACTTCCGGTCTCAGCTCGAGCTGTGGAGGGTCCCAACGAGACGGCGACACAGGAAGTCTCTCAGACTCGGACAAGTCGGTGTCACTGTCGCCGTCGTCACAGCCGCTCATACTGGAGACCGCCGAGTTAAGCGAAAGGCTGTTTAGCACATCTGCTGGAGTTGCCTCAGACGGCCGATGGCAGGGAAAGGCCGGCGTGTGTCTGCTCCCTCTGTAGCCGCTGTGCTTGTGTTCTCTGTGGCTGCAGCGCTGAGCGGCAGGCTGCACCGCTGGCTCCGTACTTTTCTCTCCGGGGGATGACGTTTGGGATTTTGACTCCGAGGTTGCCTGAGCACTACGAGGAAAAATAATACCATTAGAATACAATCAACATCCACACACAACAGAATGGGAATACATTTTCAAAAAGGAGAGCAATCTCACCTTTGATGAGAGGTTTTGCGTTTGGTCGAGGGGGTGTGGGGCTTGTGCCTTCTTCTCTGCTGCAGCCTCTGTAATCAAAGACAGACACAGTTAAGTGCTCAGTTGTTTCTATTTATAGCTCGTGATTATTCACACTTTACACACATAAGATAAGATAAGATAAGATATACTTTATTCATCCCAGCAGGGAAATGTAGGTGTTCCAGCAGCCAGCATACATACAAACACACAACACAACACATATATACATACATATCCCACCCATACAAAAAAACATGAGCCCACAATACATAGCCAGGATAAAAAAAAAAAGTGGTATGGATGGTCCATGTGCATAAGTATGATAGATAAATAAAGAATTATGATAAAAAGCAGTCAGTATACAGGTGCAAAATACAGTTTGATATATGCAGCTCAGGCTAAAGTTTAAAAGTTTAAATGTCTTCTGTCCTTACTTAAAGGGGAGTCATTATAAAGTGCAGTACACAGAGGTGAAACTTAAAACAGTCAATTACACAAAAAATAGTTCATGATAAAAAAAAAAGGTGGCCATTAATTATGTGAACATTTTAAAGGAATAACAAGCCCATTGCTATAAGAATAGCCCAAGTTATTAAACGACAACAAGATGACGGTCATTCAAGTCAATTTAAAAATAGAGTGCTAAGAAAAGCAGGCGTAGTGACAACATTAGAAGTCTCACTGATTCCACATCAAATATCTGCAATACATTTTTTTTTGAGGCAATCAATTAAAATGGTTAAAGTTCTGCTTACCTTCTCATTATTATTGTCCTGACTTGGGGATGAATACTGGGGCAGCTGGGGCTTCCTTTGTGACTGCCGCCTTCCCATTCTGTTGCTTTGAACAGGAGAAGAAATATTAAATATTAAACACAACCAATGACCTAAATATCACAGCGGGAGAAAACACAAATGATATGTTGTAGGATTTATCAATGCACTGCCTTATGTTAGGTTTCTCTATTGTTATATCACACATTTATCACAAAGGCAGAGTGTGTAATCATCAAAACAACACGGGAGTCGTGAATCTCTCTGCACCTTACAGACCCACGCCCACATCTCTGAAATCCACATTTCTTTCTTAAATAATGAGTTATATATCCCACGCTACCTGTCCACATTAGGCCTGTTGTTGCTCCACACCGCCTTCTTCTTGCACCCCCTCTCCCTGATGGAGACCTTCTCCTGGCATTGTTGTGGCACTCGCTCCAGCAGAACTGTGCCCATCCCCACTCACAGAAGGCACCAATAATAAGGGGGAGTGGGATGTTCAATCGGAAAGTGGCGGTGCGATCGTAATGCAGGGCCGAAATGCTAAACAAAAAAAAAAAAAAAAAAAAGGGGAGGGTGGGGGATTTTTTTTTTCCTGCAAAGAAACATGTCGGCGCAATGCAGGTTCAGCTGCCGTCCAGCAGAGGGCCGTGTTGGTTCATACAGTGCGGTGATCCTTGGCCCACCTGTTAAGCAGGGATGGGCAATTTTGGTCACAGCAAGGGCCACATTTATTTAATTCTCACTGCCAGAGGGCCACATAGTAAGTAAAAAAAACAATTACAGTCGATTATGTCTCAAATTTAACTCAACATATATCAGTGATGAAATATTATTATGGACATATTTCTGTTTTTTCATGATTTCATGGCAGATTTTGTCATGTTTTCTTCATGTTTTCTAATTAATTGATATTTAAAAATTGATCTGAGGGCCACGTTGAGGGTTGATTGGGGCCGCATGTGGCCCCCGGGCCGCCAGTTGCTCCACCCCTGCTGTTTAAGCGTGGACTGTAAATATCAAAGGGGGAGGATACATCCGCAAGAGGACCCTGTTTGCATCTCGTGTTGACCCTGAGAACACTCTGGTTTCTTTCAGTTTGTGATGTTGGTGCCAGGGGATTTCAACCAGTAACCTTTA